TAAAGCCTGCTTTCCTACCCTGAATAGTGTTCTTACTGTTGACCCTGTGAAAGAAGAAAGGCCAGTTGTTTTTATTTTAATTTTTTTGGAGGAACATCCCATTTTTTTAACCTCATATGTGAATAGAATATATGAATGCAATATATGTGAATGGAATAGTCATACCACTACCTCACCATCGCTCCTTACTTACTACACTTTAACGTAAAAGTAAATCCACCTGTATATAAGCCATCCGGATTGTACATATTTTTATTTCTTTATTTCTTATTTTTATTTTGTTTTTCATTGTGTGCGATACAGGTACACTTGCACCTTAATCCTTATTTACCTTGATATACTGTATATACCTGGATATACTGTATATATATTTTGTTTATTGTTTATTCTTAATGCACCTTCTTTGACTTCTATGCTAATATGTGACAAGTGAATTTCTCCGCTGTGAGATCAATAAAGCTCATCTAATCATCTAATCTAATCATAGTACACATTTTTTTCTCTCATTACTGATAAAAAACTTATTACATAGTGCTGATTTCTTTTCCCTAACATCCTTTTTTCAGTGAGACCCTTTGTGGCTTTTCCTGAAGGTTGGGTTAATGCCAAGAAAATCTGACCAGGAAAACTGAATTTTAGTTCAAGCTAATCAATCACTACAGCAGCTTGCATGAGTGAAAGGAAAATTCTGTCTTGATAAATCCATATCTTAAGCACACGCAAACTATGCAACTAGATTAGAACATCTTTTTTTCCCACTTTGCCTAAACAGTTGTTTTTCATCAAAATGTACTGAATCTAAGTCCTATTACAAAGTCAAGAACATATATAATTGATTTATTATTGTTTTAGTGTTCTCCTCTGCTCTTTTCCCTGTACGTACACCAACAGCTGCACCTCCAGTCATCAGTCTATCAAGCTTCTGAAGTGTGAGGATGACACCACTCTCATCTGACTTATCTCTGTTGTTGATGAGTTTGCCTACAGGTGGGAGGTTGACCATCTGGCCACCTGGTGCAGGGAGAACAACCTGGAGCCCAATGCTCTAAAAACAGTGGAGGTGGTTTTAGACTTCAGGAAGAACTCAGCCCCAGCTATCCCCATCGCCCTCTGTGACTCTACATTTGACAATGTGGAGTCTTTCTGCTTCCTGGGAACTATCATTTCACAGGACTTAAAGTGGGAGCTGAACCAACAGAGGATGTACTTCCTCCAGGCCACCCTGTCTGCTCTAACCTTCTCTACCCATGGTAAGCTTCGTATAATTGCCACAATTTCTGCTGTGTAAACAGACAGTTGATCTGATATTATTTTAGAAATATATATTTTAAACTCTAGTATATATATTCCTATTCCAACGCGTCCTTTTAAATTATTAGAACCATCTGAATATATTTTAAGGTAGTAATAATATGATTTTCTTAAATATATATCAGTCTTTTTACAGCCTGTCTCCTCAGTGTCTACTGGCCTTTTTTCCCTCCTCCCTGGAATAATGCCTTCTGCTGGACGCCAGCAAGAAGCAGAACTGGAGTAATTTTAGTAAATGTAGTCTTTATCTGCTAAGTCCAGACCTATTATAAATTAATCATCATATTGTGTAGTTTATTCTTTACATATATGTATAATTATAATTCTGACTTTTTTCCCATAATAAATTGAAAGAAAATTTAAAATCTGTTAACTTTTTTTTTCAGTGGCTCTAATCCTCTTCCGTATAATTGTCATGTTGATAAACTAACAATAAAACATCTTTGCAAAATGAATGTCATGTTCATTATTATAAATGGACGCCAGCTTTCAATGTTTCAAATAAATAATTTTGTGTTTGTCCTAGAGAGGGCGCTACTGACTCAAATCCAACGCTAATCCCCAGAAGGACTGACCGTTTTATCCCATTTCCGGTTTTGGTTTTGTTGCATTCTAAGCAGGCGGCACTGACTTTCTGGCTGTGTATTTAATTTGAAAGTCGTTTAAAAATGGACAGCGTAAAACTTCAGAGTTTTAAGACCTTTTTAACGGAACAGTTCACCAGTCTGGCCGTGGAGGTGTTCAGCGAGGTTGAAAGCATGATGGAGTCTTGCTACGAAGAAAACAGACGGCTGAGGAGCGTGCTGCGCATGGTGCTCAGCCCTGAAATAAAGTTACCCAGGATAGGTTCGTAGCTTTGTAAAGTCTTTACAATGTCTGCCAACCTCAGCTTAGCGCACCGTTTAACATCAGTTTTAAGTCACACTCATTCTCACAGCTGAAAGTTTATTCCCTGAGCAGATTAGCATAATTTTGAAGGAAAAAGTGGGAATGTAGGTTGAGAGTTTTTACCCCGCCAAGAGGACAGCCTTGTTCCCGGTGTGTAAATGTTATGGAGGACCAGGAGAGTCACTAAAAATATAAACCTTTCATTTAACATTTAAAAGCACAAAAACAAGTCTAATTTGAAAAGCCTTTTCTAATTACAGATTTTAAATTACATTTTTAAAGAGGACCTGAGTTTGGAGTCCAGAGGTTCTGAGTTCAAGTCCCAATCCCACAGACTGCAACTCTGGGTCCCTGAGCAAGACCTTTAACCCCACACTGCTCCCTGGGCGCCCCACCATGGCAGCCCACTGCTCCCCAGATGGATAGGTTAAATAGAGGGGTAAATTTCTCCAGTGTGAGATCAATAAAGTTCATTTGTTATTATAATTGTTACTAATTTGACATATTTATTTTCAAATCCTATCTAAATCTATCATATCACACAAATCTTACATTAAAAAGTGTAGTTCTTTGTTCCATTTCTATTTTTTGTTCACCTTTTATTTCAAATCCTTCTCTGATTTGTATTTACCATCTCTATTTACCTTTTCCTAGGGCTGGGCGATAATTCAATAACGATATATAGCGATCGATAGATGTGT